ACGTTTGTTCAGTCTGTTGCAATGCATCGGAGGCAGTTTTGTGTGCCATTTTTTGGGCGCGGGGGCGGTGCTTTCTGACCTTGTCAGTTCAAGGTTTGTCAGATACCATCTGACTGCCTGGGATGCAGGAGTTGTGATCTCCCACACGCACACACTTACTCGGTCTCTGAGGTCCCGCCACAGGCTTCTGCCATACAGACCCTGGATTTCTGATCAATTCTATTTCATGTGATTTCCACCCAAAATGGAGAAAATGTATAGTGTGTTTATAATTGCATACTCTGCATTGTTGGATATAATCCTGATCTGTCTGGGGAGATTTAGGGCCCATTTCTTCTCCATGATGTCAGCTCACAGCCTATCTGGAAGCCATGCCTGCAGCGGGAAAGCTACGGTAACTAGCTGGGGGTGGAAGTGGCAGCTGAACCCAAATGTAAACCAATCTCTCCCTCAGCTTCCAGTGAGCCTGCTCCCCACAACGACCATTGTTCCCCCATTGCCACCTGCCCAGAGGAGCTGGGATAGGAAGCCAGGGTGGCAAGTGTGGAGTTCTGAGGCATAAACTCCATCATCTTAAGAATAAATCTGCCTGGGGAACATCTCACAGTACAAATCTCCAACCCTGCAGTGTGCCTGGAAGGAGGAGAATGGGATGTACTGGTCAACAGTGCTGTTGATTACCTGGCCCTCCAGAAAGGTCTTGACGCTTGACACTCCCACCAGTAGAAACATAAGGTTTTAGGAAATTTTAAAAAGTTTTTTTTTTAAAGATCTTATTCATGCATTTGACAGAGAGCATAAGAGAGCGCAAGCAGGGGGAGCAGCAGAGGGAGAGGGAGAGGGAGAAGCAGGCTGCCCGCTGTGCAGGGAGCCTGATGCGGGACTCGATCCCAGGGTCCCGGGACCATGACCTGAGCTGAAGGCAGACGCTTAACCAATTCAGCCACTCAAGCGCCCCAGAAATTTTAAAAAGTTTTAATAGTAACTTAATCAGCCAACTCTTTTTCTCCCTCCCTTCCTGCTTTTGGATGTTGTCAATCATAATTAGCTGCAGTGGTGGAAACCTGACAACCTTTTAATCTCAGCTTACTTGCCAACTATGAAAATACTCCTGGTCACTTGGTTGGTGCCCCATGGAAAGGGCTCTGACCAAGGACGCCCACGATCCTCCAATTAGCAAATACAGTGACTGTTACTTATTTGCATCTCTTTGAACATCTCTGTGCTATTTTACTTTTTTTTTAAGATTTTATTTATTTATTTGACAGAGAGAGACACAGCGAGAGAGGGAACACAAGCAGGGGGAGTGGGAGAGGGAGAAGCAGGCTTCCCGCGGAGCAGGGAGCCCGATGTGGGGCTCGATCCCAGGACCCCGAGATCATGACCTGAGCCGAAGGCAGACGCCTAACGACTGAGCCACCCAGTGCTATTTTACATTGTGACATTTGTCTACTGCAAAACTGTTAGAAGTTGAATTACTTTTGATTCTTGGGTTGCCTTGAAGTTGTTGGCTTCCAGTATAATTTTGAGCCCTTAATTTCTTCTTGTGGGTCAATAGGTAACTTTTACTTTAGCAACAATTGTTAGGCTTCATTGTGCTGGAGAAAAATTTGACATTTGCTGTGCCAAAGGCAGGCAATAAAGGGTACTGATTATTAGAAACAGAATATTAGAAGCTGCCTAAATACCCATCAAAAGGGGACTGATTAAATTATCATGAGTATAGTTGTGCGTACGTGCGTATCTATCCGTATCTCTGTCTACATCCTGAATACTTGTGATATTGTCACTTAAAATAAGAAATATATGTTTGTTCTTCATCTCATTTCTGGGACAGAGCTTCTAAAACTCTTGAAATTTCCTACATGATAAGAGGTGTCTTTTGATATTCTCAGCAACCCCCTTTCAACCACATCTGAGTTTGTGTTAATGAGGGGACTTTCGGGCTGGAGGCTGGTTGCCAGGGAACTAACCGTGTGATTAGAGAGTTGGAGCTTTCAACCCAGCTCATCTCTGGGAAGGGGAAGGGGCCTACAGAACGAGCTCTATAAAAACTTGAACACAAGAGATGACCACTGCCAGGACCCTTTTGGACCTTGCCCTGTGTATCTCTTCATTTGCTGTTCAGTTATATCCTTTTGTAAGCTGGTGTCAGAGCACCTGGCTCCAGGGGTTCCACACAGACCCGGTTTGGCTACTGGCCACTGACTAAATCCAAAGGCAGAGAGACAGTCGTGGTGAAACTAGAAAGGAATTTATTTCAGTGAGGCCGACACCGGGAAGACAGACATCTCTTCTAGGTTTAGGTGAGGAAAATGTGGGACAAAGGTTGTAGGCACAGGCCGCTGGGCCATAAAGGTCAGGTCCATGATTCTCTTGGGGTCAACCCCACGGGCTCTTGCTGGCCCCGGGCAGTCCGTGTTGCTTGAGGGGGTAGTTTTGGTTTCAAACACGGGGAATGCTTTGCCTGCAGGGTGTTTTTCCTGAGTGGAGAGATAAGCTTGAAGGAACGCATCAGACTACAGACTGAGGTCAGAATGGAGGCAGTTGAAGTTCTCTTTTACTTGAACATCCTTTGTAATAGACTGTAATAAACTTTGTAATAAATCTAGAACCTTCTCAGTGAGGCCTACCATGTCACTCCCTAAAACTTCAAACACCTTTGCCCTAGTTACATTGCATTTTCCTTTCCTGCTTTGATTTTTTCCCCTTTGCAGTTCACACTGCCTATCATACAGTACTTCTAATTTCATTTTTAAAAGCTTCTCCTTCATCAAACTATGAGCTAGAGAGCAGATTTCTGTTTTGTTCACTGCTGCATTGAGTGGCCTATTAGATGTGCATATTCTTGAAACTTTTTTATTTTAATATTTAAGAATGTAGGTGTTAGCTTCCCACACAAATATGGTTGAAGTTAGCATACCAGAAACATTTGTAACTCATCAGTACAGCGTGTTATTTTTTGCCCAAGATTACTAGATCCAATTACAGGGCGAAGAAAAAGTTTAGGAGTTTCCCTTATATGAACTACTTCTTTGTGAATTGATTGCAAGTCAGGCATGTAATTCAGAGGGAGAATTCAAGTCTCTGGTTCTATAGCAAATTAAAAGAGCCATTAGGAAAGGGACAAAGTGTGTGCTTAGCCCTCTCTCTAATACGCTGACTTTTTTTTTTTTTTTTTTAAGATTTTTATTTATTTGACACAGAGAGACACAGCAAGAGAGGGAACACAAGCAGGGGGAGTGGGAGGGGGAGAAGCAGGCTTCCCGCGGAGCAGGGAGCCCGATGCGGGGCTCGATCCCAGGACCCTGGGATCACGACCTGAGCCGAAGGCAGACGCTTAACGACTGAGCCACCCAGGCGCCCCTCTAATACGCTGACTTAACAGAACCCCATATCGATGGGAGAGGTGTCTTTATGATTCCTGCGCAGAAGTATTGGTAATGGATAGAGTGGAGCTGCCCTGCCCTGCCTTTTACGTGGAGACCCTGCCAAGCATGTCAGCAGTTGTGCGTGTGGGTTTTTAGTGCCCCCAACCCCCCCCCCATTTGCTGGCGGTGTGCAAGTAACTGCGCTTGGTGTCTCGGGTGGAGAGAGATGGGCTGGCCGCTGCCCTCAGAAAGCTCAGGAGGCAGAGGGAGGCATAATGGCAAGTATAAAAAAGGGTAGAATGCAATCATAGATGAGTAAGCTTCCTTGGGAGAGACTGGAATCAAATAATGTCTGGCAGGAGGAGAGACAATCAGGGAAGGTGTTGGGAGGATGTGGCTTTGAGTGGCGCACTGAAAGGCATGCGTGGGACTCCAGGAGGCGGAGGGAGGGCCACAGAACAGCCCGTGCCTTATATGTTTCCCGCACTTGAATCATCTGGGGATCCTGTCAAAAAAACCCAAAACCATTCTGACTCTGTAGGTCAAGGAGGAGAGGCAGAAATTCTGCACTTCTCTCCGGCTCCCTGGTGATGCTGATGTTGCTGGCTCTGAGGATAGATCTGGGACCACAGAGCCGCCTGCCTACACGTCCTGGACCTTTGAAGTGGGGGCTCGCCGCGGGTTCTGGCCCAGGCTGGACGTGTGGTGGGCTGCGAGGTGCTTGGTTAGAGAAGTGCTAGAATAGAGGCCGGGAGCCCAAGACTGATCTGGTTTTAGGGGCAAGACCACTTGACCTTTCTTTGCTCACTGGGCCATCAACTCAGCCTTTGGGCCGCCTCCTTCTCCTGAAATCTTCCTTTAAAAGCTCACCTGGTAATTTCCATCGATACCTGTTTGACGATGATCTCCATTCTCTTGGGACATATTGCTGGAACGTTACTTTGGTCCTTCAGGGAGAAACTGGTGCCATTATTGGTAGATTTTTCGGTGTTTTTATAAACCTCCATTTCAGCTTTTTAATGGCTAAGTCCAGTGATCACTTTTGAAAAGCATAGCTTATGAATGAATTAGGTGGGCCTCGATTTTAGGCTCTTATAATTGGGAGAAGAGGAGATAATACTCTTCCCTGTCTTACAGCCCTCTGGGGTCCCAGTCAGCCTGCGTGACCTCTGCCTGAACCCCCAGGGCAGTTGCAGATGGCATAAACAGACACCATTTGGACCCTGCCCTCTCGGTGTTTGGCATAATTGTGGTAGGGACTAGAAATCAGAAACGTGTGTTGGCAGCGTCAACTTACTAGTGGCGGAGGAAGAACCGAAAACATTGCAGAGCCGTTCCTCTCTGTTTCCTCCCAAGGGCCGAGCCGCACCCCAGCAGTGTCCGGGGACTGCGGTGGGGTGTAGGTGTTCACGTTAGGAATTCGATCCTTTCCTTAAGGCCTCCATAGCTGTTGTTACATAGGAATTTCATCAGATCATATTGCTGACGGCGATACCGTCGTCCCCAGAGGAATAATGGCCTTGTGCGGTGGTGGTGGTGGTGGAGTTTTATTTAAATGTGGCAGGCACATATGTCCACGGATATGAACTAAATATACACACGTGTGTGTGTTTCCAATTTTCTTCCTAGATTTTGGCCCTGATTGCGTTCATCTGCATAGAGACCATCATGGAGTGCTCCCCGTGTGAAGGCCTCTACTTTTTTGAGTTTGTGAGCTGTAGTGCATTTGTGGTGACTGGAGTCTTGCTGATTCTGTTCAGTCTGAACCTTCACGTGAGGATCCCCCAGATCAACTGGAACCTGACAGTGAGTACAAGTCACCACCACTCTCTGACCTTGAAAGGATTGGGTGCTCCTCAGCTCCAGGGGCAAGCTGGAATCTCTCTGCAGTCTTGTTTGGTTCTAGTTCATTTTGATACTTACTTTATTGTAATGCGGCTGTGAAATTTTAACTGTCTTTACTGGGTTGAATAAAACTATACAGTAAATTGAATCTTCAGTAATGGTAGAGCCATCATATAACAATTATTTTGACCCCTTTAAAGATGTCATTTCAATTTTATGATCCTCTGAGAAGATTGGTAATGTTGATATTTATAGAACTTGGGAAGAGAAAGATGGAATTAAAACGTTTGCATATTTTTCACACTGGACCCAAAAGCCATTTACAAAAGTATTGATCCAGGAAGAATTGAAAATAGGAATGAAAGTGCCGGTGACTTGCAAAGCCTAGGATTAGCATTAAATTCAAAGCAACTGGGAGGACGCGGAGGGTTTGGTGGTTTGATCAGAAGCGTGTGCTCTCGAGGGTTTGGGTTCTCAACCCCCTTTTGACAGCCTTCAGATTGGCATGGGAAGCTCCTGTCCTGGCCCATCTTGTGTTACTTTTCCTTATCCTGCTAAATGAGAAAGGAAACCTAGTAGCACTTGGTTTTCTTGACGTTTCTTTGCAAACAAGCATGTGCAAGAGCTCAAAGGGGATCAGTCAGAGAGTCACAGGAAAGCACCATCAGCTGCCTCACACTTTGGTGCCTGCTCAGCGGGAAGCCTGCTTCTCCCTCTCCCACTCCCCCCTGCTTGTGTTCCCTCTCGCTGTTTCTCTCTCTGTTAAATAAATGAAATCTTTAAAAAAAAAAAAAAAGATTTTATTTGAGAGAGAGAGAGAACGCATGCGTGTGGGGGACAGGGAGGGCAAGAGGGGGTGCGAAGGATAGAGGGGAAGAGAGACAGAAACCCAAGCAGACTCTGTGCTGAGCATAGAGCCTGATGCGGGGCTCGACCTCATGACCCCGAGATCATGAAGAGGCGGACACTCCACCGACTGTGCCACCCAGGCGCCCCATAGCATCTCAGCTATTTTTAAGATAAAGTTTGTGTTCTCCATCACAAAATTCTCACACGGATACCTGGCTGGCTCAGTTGGTGGAGTGTGCGACTCTTGATCTCAGGGCTGTGTGCTCGAGCCCCACGCTGGGTGTGGAGATTACTTAAAAATAAAATCTTTAAGGGCGCCTGGGTGGCTCAGATGGTTGGGCATCTGCCTTTGGCTCGGGTCATGATCCCGGGGTCCTGGGATTGAGTCCTGCATCGGGCTCCCTGCTCGGCGGGGAGCCTGCTTCTCCCTCTGCTTCTCTCTCTCTCTCTCTCCCTCTCTGTCTCTCATGAATAGATGAATAAAATCTTAAAAAAAATAAAATAAAATCTTTAAAAAAAAATTGCCCACAGAGTTGACAGCATAGGAGAACCTCATAAACCTCCTCCAACTTCCAGACCTCCTCCAACCAAAATGTGAGTGGTAGAAGGCCTATCTGACAGAGGTGGCTGCCGGGAAGGTTAAGACCAGGGGCTTTGAGTCAGATCTGTGTTCAAATGCAGGGTGGCTCTTAAGGGCTGTGTGGGACCCTGGGCAGGTCACTTAGAGCCCCATGTTGAAGGCTACCATTGGTAAAGTGGAGATGATAGTATTTTACAGGCTTGTTTTAAGAATGAAATGAGACCATGTGTATAAGGGACCTCAAGCCAGTGTGCACTGCCGCCCGTCCGAGAGATGTTAGTATTACCGCAAGCGAGGGGCCCTTGTTTCCTATCAACCACATGTTTCCCCTGCAGACTTCTGCCAGGTTTGACTTCACTCCCCTGATTCAGTCTTATCTACTGATTTGACTATAAATCTGTTAAAAGACCTCATTCTGCATCTTAATAACTAATTCATACTGGTCTCTATCCCCAGAAATACTCTTTAGTGAGCATTCTGGAATTCTGATTCTTCTAATTTAAATGTGAAGGGCTTCCTACTTGTTGATTACCACATAATTGGGTCATATTGAAGTGCATCTTTTTCACTGGAAAGTTCACATACGTCTTTTTCTTCTGGACGGCGTTGGGTGGGGCAAACGCCTGGCTGATGTCACTTGAGAACAGTTTCAGTCCTTTGGGATCTTTTCCAGGATTTCCACCCTTTCAGAGCAGATGAAGGTGTATGCTTATTCAACAGAAGAATGCATGAGTCCATGAACTTGAGGAAGTGGTACTTACTGAGGGGAGCTCAGGTCATCTGTTCTCCAGGAGGGGAGAAAAAGTGAGTTCTTCAGGGCTGGACACAGCTCATTGAGTCACTGTGATAGAAGGCTGGCCTTGACTGTGCTGTGTTTCTCTAACAAGGTGGTGGGAATATTTTGTCCTCAGTAGAACTAACTAATGAGTGAAATGGGGTGTGATTCGTATAGAATTAGAAAAGTGGTCATTTCATGAGCGTATGTTGACACAAAAATAATCATGGAAAATGGTAAATGAGGAGGAAGATGCGAAGTACATATTTTATACAAGCATTATTTGATGCAAGCAGAAAGCTTTTGTTAGCTCTGGGTTTGCTTGTTTTTGATGAATCTATGGGATTTATCCTGTGATACTTGTTCTTCTCTGTGTATTAGGGGCTCATACGCCTTTGTGCCCCACCTGTGTTTACTTTAGTTAGTGCCCCAGGCCTCTCCCTCCATTCCCTGCCTGCCACTGAAAGCGGCTAGGGGCTCCCGGTCTCCTTAGCCAGCACTCCGAGTCCGTCACGGACTGCTTGGCCGAACTTCCTAACAAGGAGGGAGGTCTGCACTTGTGTTCTCTGCTTCCCTCCTCCTCATTTCTCTTTTCTCACCTCTTACTGTCAAATACAGCTCACTCGGAAAAATTCATTAAAAATGTACAGTTGAACAAAGAATGGTAAAGATTGTGGAGCCACCCGTCTGGGTCGAGAGATAAACTTGACATCCTTGAAAGTCCTGTGGTTGGGATCACTGGGGCCTCCATGTTCCTGGACCCCCTGGTTCCTCCTCAGTTCCCCCCCGCCCCACCCCCACCGAGTGGTGTGAGCAGAGCTGCCATGGAATGTTCTGTCCGTCCTGCTGTACTCGCCAGTCCGCCTCCCCTGATACCACACTGTCCTGGCTGTTCTTCCTCCTTGGTGCTCCTTCTCAGTGCCTCAGTGGCCCCTGCTCACCCCACACACCTTCACAATCAAGAACCCAGGTTGGGTGTTGAGTGGGGACAGTCTGAGTCACCCAGAGGGGCCACCTGCAGAGCCGCAAGGCCTTGGCCATGACTCATGGTATAGTGTTTCCTGTCACTTTTCACACCAAATTATGTCTTTTTTTTCCTGACACCGCATCTGTGTAGCTTTTCCACACCAAGCAGTTCTCCGATTCTCTGACACCAACGAGGTGTCGCAAAATTCAGCTCCGTTCTGACACTAACTCTTAAAGTTGGCACAGACCCCCACGGAGAAGGGCTCAGTCCCATGAGACTGCCCCTGCTTCAGACACGTGCCACAAACGGGGCTCCCACGTGACCTGCAGATTTGCCTCCTCAGGTTCATAATTCTCTAGAGCAACTTACAGAATTTGGGAAGAGTGCTTTACCTGTGCTTATTGGTTTGCTGTAAAGGATGCAATTCAGGAACAGGCAGATGGAAGAGATGCCTATATGTGTAGGGCGGGATCCAGAAGAGTCTCAACGTGCTGGAGCCTCTGTCCTCACGGAGTTGGGGTACAGCATCCTCCCAGCATAGGTATACGGTCACCAGCTTGGGAGCTCCCTGAACACCGTCCTTCGGGGGTTTTCATGGAGATTTCATTACGTAGGCATGATTGAATTAAAATCATTGGCTGTTTGGACGTTGAAGTCAATCCTTAGCCCCTCTCCCCTCCATGGAGGTTGGCGGGGGTGGGGCTGAAAGTTCCAACCTTCTAACAGCCTGGTTGGGTTTTTCTGGTAACCAGCTCCCATCCTGAAACTATCCAGGGGCTCCCCAGAGTCACCTCATTACCATAAGCTCAGGAATGGTTGAGAGGGGCTCCTTATGAATCACAAAAGACACTCCTGTCATCACTCAGGAAGTGCCAAGGAACTGGGGACAAAGACCAAATACATATTTTCTATCATACCGTACTCATCTTTTCCAGAACTCCATTTCCTTACCCATAAAAGCAGAACAAACTAACACGTCTCCTGCTTTATACGTATTTTGGATCATAATTAGGTTAGGATTGGTGATGTTACACACACACACACACACACACACACACTTGACAGGGATTCCACGGAGGGTATATGCCACTGTCGTCAGTATTATGACTGTCCCTGTGGCACTGGGACCACTTGAGCACAAGTCCGTGCGTGGACTAGTGGCTGTGAACTTCCCGTCTCAGCCATGTGTGGAGCTGACCCCAGAGCCAGCCACAGACCCGGGTGGTTTGGGAGCGACTGCAGTGAGAGCCTGGGGCTGAGCCTGTTTACAGCTGTCTCACCTGTGGTCAGCCCAGCAGACGTGTATCGGACACCTGCTTTGTGCTAGGATTTGGGAACCGAAAGCACAGGGCAGGTCGACACAAGCTGCTTGCGCTTTGGTAAGTGTGCTCCGTAAGATCCAGTTTTGTGCGGGGCCTGGTGGAACCCAGGCAAGGAGGTCGTAGATTCCTCGGGGCAGAAGCCTGGAGCGGGTGTCAGCAGGGGGGTGTTCATAGAAAAAGCCCGATGCCAGCCGGGCCTTGAAAGATGAGTGGGTGCCCACTGGGTACGGAGTGTGGAAGGTGGGGCAGGGCACATTGCCGGATGGCCCATTCTCTGGGACAGGAGCCGGGTTGGAGACTCGGGGCCTGCTGGGGCTGGGCAGCTGGGAAGATGAGCTGGAGGCGGGGCGACGGGGCGATGGGGCAGGTCGTTCTCTTCCCCAGCCCCAGCTGACTGTGTAGTTGCTTCAGGGTACTTCTGGAACAGCTTTTCAAGAGCAGCTAGAAGCTTCTTTTTTTCTTTCTCTTTTAAGAAGTCAGTTTTTTATGTACAGTCTTCTGGTATTTAAATGTTGGCATGTTCAAATTTGTTTTGAATGCGGTGCAAGTCAAACCCGTCTGGGGGCCAGATATGGCCAGTAGGCCTTGGGTTCACACCCTCTAGGCCACATCCTGTTGACCCGTTATTGGAGTTACAGGGGTTCGCCCCTGTACCTGCCGGCGTGTCCCTGAAGGAGACAGCCGGGAGCGTGTATATGTGAGGGTGGATTTCCTCTTCATCCCCTAGCGTAAGGACGGGCTGCAGCCTTGGGTGTTCTGGGGGCCAGACCAGAAGCATGAAGTGGGGGGGGTGAGACCGTACGGAGTGGGGACGGCTGGGGCAAGCTGGAAAGCATGTGGCTGAGAGAGTACACGTCCCAGTACAAGCATCAAAAAAGATTAATCACCGTTGTTGACTACAAACCCCCAAAGCCCAGTCAGAGGGCGTGTCTGTGTTCCTCCTAACGTGAAGGATGAACCTACAGGCCTTGATTTTTGTTTCATGGACACAGAACTCAAGTAGTTGATGCTGACCAAAACTTGCAGTATTCCACTTTTAAGGCTTTTAGTTTTTATTTTTTTAGAAAGATTTTATTTATTTGACAGAGACAGAGAGGGAACACAGGCAGGGGGAGTGGGAGAGAGAGAAGCAGGTTTCCCGCTGAGCAGGGAGCCCGACGTGGGGCTCGATCCCAGGACCCTGGCATCATGACCTGAGCCAAAGGCAGACGCTTAACGACTGAGCCACCTGGCGCCCCACGTTTAAGCCTTATAAACTGTGCAGAGCAGTGTCTGTTACAGAAAAGCTGGAAGATGCAGATAATAAAAGAAAAAAAATCATGTGATGATCCAAGACCAGTGAAAACATATGTCTACCCAAAAGCTTGTAAGTTCGTAGTAGGGTTATTCAAAACAACTGGAAAGTAGAAACAACTCAAATGTCCAAAAACTGATGGAAAGGTAGATAAAATGTGGCGTATCCGTACAGTGGAATACAACATAGTAATAGAAAGGAGTGAAGTGTTGATACATGCTCCAACGTGAGTGATCCTTAGAACTATCATCCTGAGTGGAAGAAGCCAGTCACAAAAGACCACATATTATATAATTCTGCTTATATGAAGTGTCCAGAATAGGAAGATCCAAAGAGCCAGAGCTTTCTGGTTAGTAGTGGTTGCCTAGGATTAAGGGAGGGATGAAGAATTACCTGCTAATGGAGTGCCGAAAATGTTCTAAAATTAGATCGTGGTGATTGAACTGTACATTTTAATTGGGCATATTATATGGCGTATGAGTTATATCTCACTAAAGCCGTTAAAAAGTCACACGTGATACAACCCATCAGGGTAACCACTTGTATTACTTGGTATAACAACCTTCTAAACCATGTAAACTAGCTCTTCCATAGGCACGTATGTTGTGATGTGTGAGGGGGGAAGAACGGAACCATCAGAATCATGCTTTTCCACTTAAACTATTTTTTTTAAAGATTTTATTTATTTATTTATTTGACAGAGACACAATGAGAGAGGGAACACAAGCAGGGGGAGTGGGAGAGGGAGAAGCAGGCTTCTCGCGGAGCAGGGAGCCCGACGCGGGGCTCGGTCCCAGGACCCTGGGATCATGACCTGAGCCGAAGGCAGACGCTTAACGACTGAGCCACCTGGCGCCCCTCACTTAAACTATTTTAAGTATATTCCATGTTAAATGTACAATTATATCATTATTTTTAATGACTGCATAGTGTTCCACTGTGGTGATACCATTTTATTTCACAAATCCCCTGTTCGTGAGCATTTTGTTTGCCTCCCAATTTTTTTGCTAGTTTAAGTTCTATGATGAACATCCTTACACTGAGACCTTTCTGCACTAGTATGGTATTTAAGATGAATTTCCAAATGTGGAAATCATAGACAAACAACATGAACCTCTTTGATGCGTACAGGCCCTTGACTGCATTTATATTTTTACGTAGTCACCCCGAATGTATATACAGTTTTGTTTGATATGTGGCCTCAGCACTGAATCATAAAACGTTCCCCCCACTTCTGAATAGTTTTTGGTTCAGAAAGCTCCTTATTTTGAAAATCCTTCAACTGCTTCTTCTTTATTCCTACAGCACCTTACCCAGAACTGAGCATTTTAACTAAACACTTCCTGGTTTGAATTTGTGAAAAATTTGCCCTTGCTGAACACTGGCCACAGCTAAAAACTGTCCTTCTGGGAGACGTTTCTGGACAGAGTTTTGTAGTCATGGGTACTTGGAGCTCCCCGTGAACCCTCACAGAAGCGCACACCAGGAGTGTGTTGGGGTTCCTGCTGCACAGGCTCAGCACCTTCGTGATGAGAACATTGCTTTTTTTTGCATCTTATAGAAAGAGGAGATGGCCCTTGAGGACCCCCACCTGGTGCTGATGCACGGTCCGCCTGGCACTTCAACAGTTTAGCATGTTCTGTGGGTTCTGCTTCTCTGTAGAGATTATAGAGGGACTCTGGTATGACCCAGGCTGTCAGGGACCCGTTGTCACACTAGTAATAACAGAAGCATCAGTAAATGTGCAGGGAGCCCTAGCTGGGAGCCAGGCGCAGGGCTTGGCTCTTCCATGTGCGTGGCTCCCTGGGGCCCTAGAGGAACTCCATGAGGCGGGGGTACTGTTCCCACGTGACACCCAAGAAGTGAAGTGGCTTGTCCTGGAGTCATGGTTGGTTAGGCCCCAGTCAGGCTGTGACACTTAATCACTGTTCTTACGTTCCTCTCGACAACTATGACCGGAGTTAAATCTTTGAAGCTTTGGATATGTAACCTCATTTGCTTTTCAGAAAGCTTAGGAGAAAATCCTCTAGGTTTTAGCCACATAGAGCCTTGAAAGACCACGAGTAAGAAAGAACATGAGGTCTGGCTAAGGGTGTTGTCTAGGCCTGAAAACAGTGCACTTATCAGGTCACAGGTGAATGAGGGAATGTTGGAGGGGATTTCACCAGTTTCAGTACGTTCTGGACTCCTGGGGAGTGTTGTCCATGCAAATGAAAGGTGATTCGAATGTATTTTTAAAACATGACAATAGAATTCTAAACAGTAATTAACGGGCATGTCCTTGAGGGGTTAGCCAGTTTGGGTTTCTATAATAATTCATTAAGAAATGACAGCGTGGCTGATTAAAATGTGAATTTTGCCATGGTGATATATCAGGTGATATACGTCATACGCTGGTACCATCTTTGCCTTCCTTCATGGGTCCAAAACCCCTGGGCCATCAGGACTGAAATACCGAACCATCAGAGAGGCTGGATATTGTGCTCCTTATTTTGAAAATCCTTCAACTGCTTTTAGGGCAAAGCATGAAATAATTCTTTTCAAGTGACTTTATCTTTTTTTTTTAGGATTTGGTCAACACTGGACTCAGCACTTTCTTTTTCTTTATTGCTTCGATTGTATTGGCTGCTTTAAACCACAAGACCGGAGCAGAAATTGCTGCCGTGGTAAGTGAGCTCCGTTGGTTAAAACACAGGTGGATTTGTACACCCTATGACTCGCTCGCCTCTGTCCCCTAGCATGTGTCCTGCTCATTCTGCTTGAACTTTTTCTTTGCTGATGATGTTGTTACTGAGCCAGGGAGGTCCTGCTTCCTTCAGTGGTATGGTTCTCAAAGGGTGGTCCCCAGAAGACCAGCCTTCGCATCACCAAGGAACTTTTTAGAAATCCCATTCCCAGGCTCCCCCAGAGCTACTGAATCAGAAATGCCCCCCTCCCCCTTTAAAGATTTATTTATCTATTTGAGAGAGAGAGAGAGAGAGAGAGAGCACTGTGGGGAGGGCCAGAGGGAGAGGGAGAGAGAGGCCCAAGCAGACTCCATGCTGAGCGCAGAGCCTGACTCGGGGCTTGATCTCACGATCCTAAGATCCTGACCTGAGCCAAAAACCAAGAATCGGAAGCTGAACCAACTGTGCCACCCAGGAGCCCCTGAATCAGAAATATGTTTTAACAAGCCTTCCAGGTGATTCAGGTGCACACTCCAATTTGAGAATCGCTCCTTTAGTCTGTTCCTAACAGAGCCCTGGATGTCTGTTAGTGATGTTGCTTTTACAAGCCTTATCTGCCAGTGTGGGAATCTTAATGAAGGAGAGGGCAGTGTTGACACCATTTAGCAGCCAGATGACATTTTTTTGCTTTTCAAGGTAGAATGCCTTTGGGGGTAGGGTGGGAACCAGATCATGTAAGACTTTGATTCTCTGTGCTTTGCATTTCTGTATTGTTCTCTATTTATAATGAATATGCAGCACTTTTGCAATGGTGAAGGGCAGTTTAAAAGGTTTGTAAAAAACACGAAACCAGCTGTTCTCCCAAGTGTCACTCAGTAGGTTGATCTGTCTTTAGCAAATCATTAAAATTCTGCTGCTGCTTACCTCAGAGCTGCCCACGGGCGAGGCAAGCTGGGCAGCAGGTGGAGGCTTGGGGGCTTTGATTTGGAATGTCAGGCATTGTGGCTTGATGAGCACCCCACACTGGAGACCCTCATTTTCTATTTGGTATTTTGGCTACATGGTACTCTCTTATCTGGGACCATGAAAAAGAGGTACTTCTGTGATGTGTGTGTGTGTGTGTGTGTGTGTGTGTGTTTAAATAGATCCAGAATACTTGAAGAGAAACCTTAGGCTGTTTTCAGGTCAGGCAGGACTTTATGGGAGTCAGGTTTAACTACGCACTTGGCCACAGTCCGACAGCCAGATATCAGTGGGTCCGGGCGTTGTGGGTACAGCTCGGGTCGACGGGGGCTGCTGGGGGCAGGTCCCGCCCAGACACCCTGTCGAAGGCTGGCGTGTCTGAGGAGTAACCGTGCCTGTGTTTTGTAGATATTTGGCTTCTTGGCAACTGCGGTGTATGCGGTGAACACATTCCTGGCAGTGCAGAAATGGAGAGTCAGTGTCCACCAGCAGAGCACCAGTGACTACATCCGAGCCCGCACGGAGTCCAGAGACGTGGACGGTCGCCCCGAGATCCAGCGCCTGGACACATGAGCCCACCTGCCGGAGCCCTCCTCCCTCTCATCCTTGTGCCCGTCCTTTCAACCAAGTTTTCTTTCCCTCGTCACGTCAGATTTTCCTGTGATTAAGCTGAATTTTGTCCTCTTTGGTAGAAGTTCCTTCTGGGAAACGGTTTTCAGAGTGGCCCTGTCGGTGGGTCTGCGAGGCGGGGAGCCCCGTACCCAGCTGTTGAGACAGAGGCGGGAGAGAGGGGCCTCACAGGCTGCCATGTCTCTTCAAGGTCCTCACTGTCCCCGAGCACAGGCTTCACATCTGGCTCTGAGCCACCCTGTCATAGGTTTTTGTGACAAGTCAAGACTTTGGATTAATGGGAGCTGCTAGGAGGGGTAAAAAATCAAGGCATGAAGGTGCAGGGTTGGAAGAGTCAGCAGCGATCGCTGGGCAGGCCCCTCGAGGGCCGCAGGGCAGCGCGTGGTCCTACTACCTGGACCCTCCCCTGCTCCTCGTCTTCCACCCCTGGGCCGTCGAGATGGCCAGCACAGGCCCGGAACAGCGCGGGAGACGCTGAGGGCTTGGCCACGGGTGTGCTGGTGGAGCTGTTTGCCGGGTCTGGACTCTACGGGGATGGGAGGAGCTGCTGTGCCCTTGGCACAGCTTGGCAGCCCTGCTGCCCTGCGGGAAGGTCGCCCCTCGTTTCCTGCCCTGCTGAGAAATCACTCGATTGTTCCTCCAGTGCGTCACCTCCCCGACTCCCCCGTCCCCTCCTCCAGGAATATGGGAGCATCTTGTTTTCCAGTTTGCTACCCACCCTTACTACTTGGAGGCTGAATTGCAGACTTCCTGCAATTTTACCTTCTCAGGTAAAAGTCAGACATAAAAAATACAATCCATTCCAGCAGCCAGAATGCTTGCCCATTTGCTGGCTTCATGGACCACAGGTGGGGACCCACCTCTGTTTTAGGGACGTGTGCTCATTTTTGAATGCCTGAGGACAGTTGTAAAGTTCTGAGTAGGTTGGTGTAGGATTTGAAAATACTTGAATCTCCACCACGACACACCCTTTCTCTGCTGTTCAGAAGGCACAGGCTGTAGCTTTTGTGCCTCAGAGTCCGCGCTATGGATGCTGATCTTGGAAGTTGTTGGGAAAAATTCTAGTTATGTCAGGTTTCAGATGGATTCTTGAGAAAGTGAAGGTTATGTGGTGAGCGTGTTCAACGAGCCCCTCTGATGCTGTAGTGTTTTTTGTCCTTTGCATTTTTCCTGTTGGAGACTAATTGTATCTTTCACGGAAAAATTGTTTTACCTTGTCGGGTTTTCCCTCTCTGAACTGTTGTTAATGTTTACAAACCTCCTTCCCGCTCTACTAGTCTTCATTTAGCCATCCCCCCGGGAGGAGACTCGTCCTGCTCGGGGGACGAGTGTGCAGCCCGGGGAGAGCCCCCGGGACCTCGCCTAGCAGTGGTGGAGGGCGCCGTGTAAGGGGGGAGCAAACGTGAGTGTGCCGGGCGGTGGGGGGCACAGCACGTGTGAGAAGGCGTCCAGCGCATCTGATTTCCCAGTGCAGGTCCCCCTGCTTGGCCTGCGATTCCATGGCTGAAGGGTCGGGGCGAGGGGTGAGCCCCCTGGACCAGCCACCTGGTGCGATCCGAATTCTGTGGCTCCTTTCCGGGGCAGCGGCCTGGTCACACGTGCGAGCTCCTCGTCCGCGTCCGGGGTGGCGGGCTGCCCGTGCAGACCCCCTGCTCCCACGCGGGTCCGATCGTGTGTGTGTGTGTGTGTGTGTGTGTGTGTGTGTGTGTTGTGAGGCCGCGCCAATCATGCGTCGCAGACTTTGAACTTAGTAGATGTAGTGACTTCGGAGGAGATTATGACATCTGGATTTTATCTGTTCGTTTTGTGTATTTATTTTGCATTTGTTGAGTGTGTCTGCATCGTCAACAATGGGCTCATCTCCCTCTGAGAGTTCCAGTTAGAAACAGGGTCACAAAGACTCAGCCTTGCATTCAGCGGGGCCCACTTGGAAGGACCACCCTGAACTTTATCAGAAATCTGTTGGGAATCATGTTACTTGGCCTCAATAAAAAGCCGCCTTTGAAGTGAGATCGAAAAAAAGAATACCACTCAGGCAGGATCGTTGCCCAAGTTTTCCCAAGTCACTGCAATAAAACCAGTTTATCATCCGGTGAAAAAGGGCCTGTTGGTCTCCTGAGGATGTGTTGAAAGCTGCAAGAAAGGTTCTGAAGCCCATCGAAACTCTAAATGCTTACAGGTGATAAAAAGTGATGGTACCTTGTGCCACAGAGGGACTTACAGTCAATTTGCATCGTAGTGTAGAATCTTTGGAATTATTTATGTCCCTGTAACTATTTAATATCCTTTGTGCCATGAGGCTCCCCCATGGTTTTTGTAAATATATTTCTTTATATTTAATTAGCTCCCAGGACAACCAGCAGTGGCCAGGCCCACTGTTAGCTCTCTAACGCAGGTGACCCGGTGACGCTCGTGTGGCGTGAGCGCTCGTGGAGGGAATTTGGCTGTCTAGGGCGAGTGTGACGACGCTTGCATTTTCCTTGTGTTGCCTCTGTGTACAAACAGGACAATCTAGATTGGGGGCGCTTACCAGGACTTTTTTTTTTTTTTTGCAAATTGAAGGAAGCCTATTTGTGCATTTAATAGTTCCAATATGAACCACATCCCTATGGTTTGGGGCATTTTAAGGCTGAGGCAATCTTAGTGTTTCTGTTTTCTGGTAGGATGATGCTGGCATTCATAGTGGGTGCCAGACTTGATGGGAACAGCAGTTGCTGCGTAAATTGGAATTTGTTCCTGGACACTGTATGGTTGAAACCCACAAACATTTGGTGGAACCTCTGGGGTGGTTTGAGATGGATGCAAACACTGACGTCTTCAGAGAAAGTTGATCTTGGCACTGATTTGGTTGATGTGGTATTTTTTTTCCCTCCGAATCTCCTGTATCCTTTCGCACTGCTGAAGGCATTGCGGGGAGAGGTCTTCCCCTTGCAAACAGAGAGAGGACAGTCATGGAGGCCCAAAGACACTCGTTGGCCTCACAGAAAGCCAGGGAAGGACGAAGGCAGTCACAGATTAAAATCTCACCGGAGAAGTTTGATGTATTTTATTTTAGATTTTTACTCTGTGCAGCAACACTTATCCAAGAGAGATGACCTTTGCCTACCAAAAGGCAGGGATGGAGTAGCCTGTCCAGTCCCAATGCCTCGTCTTCCTTGGCAAGCTGAGCTGAAGTGCCAGTATGGGCAGAGCCCCGCCTGGCCACGCTGAAGCCAGTGGCGGGGAGAGGGGGAGACCCCAGCCCAGCTCTGAGGGCTCGGCTCTGGGAGGCAGACCCCACCCCCAGCCCTCAGGGCACGGTGACAGTCGCGTGGCAGGGACGCTCTTGCGCGTGGGTAGGCGTGAAGTCAGTCCAATGTGTTGGATGCTTCTGGTGAGAGCTTTTGACTCCGTTGAAAACATGTCTACTCGCTTGAAGTTTTCAGTTTCATCTGCCTTTCTGTGGGGCTCTCTTAGTGATTGAGACTTTAGTTAAGCCAACGGCAGTCCCTTGGGGAGAGGAAGCACTTTTGTCTGCACACGTGTGTGAATTCTTGCACCCAGTAAGCCTGGAATAACGCCTCCGTGTGTCACGTCCTGTGTGGCCCCAGCTCACCTTCTCTTGTAAACATTCATGTGATCTTTGGGAAGAAATTCCTCACCCCGCCATGTGTTTAAGAGGTGGACTGAGTTCTAATCTCTGGCTGTGGAAGATTTTCTGGCCTTAACAGATGAATAATGTGTGGAGGCAGTGTGTGGCCAGTTCAGTGATTCTGGAAGGCAATGATGATTTAAGTGGTCCCCATTGTGCCTCCATGTTCACAACCAAGCAACCATGAAGTCATCTTGCCACTGCTTGTCATTTTCTCCATATCTTGTTTATAGAAAAATAATGACATTAAACGGGTAGCAAAAGGCAGGAAAAAAAAAAGCACTTTCTAGGCTGAAGGCTACTGCTGATTGATTCTCAATAGCAAAATAAAAAGTTGCTTCTTGCCCCTGGGACTGCCATTGGTGTGTGAGGTCCCCAGACGCTTTTTTAGTTCCTGGTGAACTTTGCAGAACCCGGGGGTTCTGTCTTCAAGTCTTTCTTACTTTATCAGCACCCACTCTAAGGACCAGCTGGGTGACAGGCTGGAGAGGTGGGGGCAGGGGCAGGTCTGGGAGCTGAGAAGGGAGAGGGGCTCAGTACACCCAGACTGTCCTGGGGGACCCTTCATCACACCACATGTGGTGACTGACCCAGGACATTTTGAAAAAATGTACTTGGTGAACTACCTTCCTATCCTCTAGCTTTGGAAAAAATGAGGTCTTGTGTTCAGAATCAGCCTGAGAACAAAAGCTGGATGTTGGGACCAGTCTGCCGTGGCGCTCTGGATGGGCTCTTGGTGTCTTGTTGAGTCTGGACAGGGTGACTCAGATTCTGGTTTGGGTGCCTAGAGAGGATGCAGGCCTAACGCCTGCCTGCCTTGAACTTTGCAAACCTTCCTGGCTTTTTATAAGATCTTTTTTCCTCTCTTCTCAGATATTACTGAGATCATAAGAACTGTCTGGTTGAAAAGGTAATTTGAAATATTTGACCCTGTACATTGCTTTTATTTAGGAACCACCTCTGACAGAAAACACCCTCAATATCTGTTAGATCTGGAATTTTCTTCTGAAAAATGAATGTTCGAGTTGACTTTTCCTTATACCAGTAAATGGCATTTATACACTCTTAGGCTTGAAACAGAGGAATGGGTCCTCATGTGTTTTCCCTTCTTTGGTCTAGATTATATTTTTATTCCATTTGGATGTCATTGCTCAACCTTGGGGATTTTTTCTCCCCCTTTCTAGTTTTTCTTATTCCATAAACAGTACAGAAAAAAGTTATCTACAAGCCCACTGAGCTTGAATCACTGGCAGCTTGCCTAGAGTAAAATTTAGATTATGGATCCTTTCATAGTGCATCTTTTTCATAGGGTTAGTTTGTTGTCCACATTTTTATGCCAAGACTTTAATTCAGGTGACTTGCTTATTAGACACCTGGGAGTGGCATGTTTTTTTTGGGATGCATTGTACACAAAGGCCAGAGAGCCTTCATTAAGGGGTTAATAGCCTGGACCGTACTGAACTATCAGAACTTTTATGGTTCTAGTGGAACTTGTCTCAAATGACCTTAATCAGCTTTGTTGATGGGATTAGGGCGAGGCCCGAAGTTTTTTTTTTCCTAATTATGCCTCAGAGGAGAGAAGATGTGACACAGTTGATTCAGGCGATGGTTTGTATGGGACTTGGTAATAGTCTGAACCTGTCAAATCTGAGTTGTCTTTGGAGGACACTGCTAAATCCCAGTAGGAAGCACCCCGCTTTACCAGGGAATGAGGACAGTGTAGGGGCCTGGCGTCCATGCCAGTTAGGGCCAGGTCTAACTGATGGCTGCCTCCCCCTCTGTGGGCCATTTTGCTTTCCTGCCTTTTCCAGAATCGGTTTTGCAAGTTTTGAGACTCTGTTCCCCTGCAGAAGCAAGGAAGGCAAATCACTAAGGGTTAAAGGGGGAACTGACTGGTCCAAGGCTGGGAGAGGGCCGGCTCCCGGGGGGAAGACGAGAGCAGGAGGCCTGGATGGACCCCCAAGCTGGCCCAGACCCACACAGGGGCTGCCTACTTCCAGCGAGTTCACTCTGTAACCCAAAATGGGTTTTCCAGTCCTGCCTCATGATGAAACTGACGTATGTGGATAAAACCAGTGCTTTTAATAAGTTGATTATGAGGTGGTTCCCTCGGAGAGAATGTAGGGATTGAAACTATTTGTATATGTTGAAGTTTGTAGGGGTTCAGGAACCCGTGGCAAAAACACTTAACTATTTATTATAGGTATGACTGTATGTTTTTTTTTTTTCCCCCAAAGTAGATAATTCTCTCTTTGTATATTTTAAGACAAATAATAATCGCTTCACCTTCGGTGCCTTCCGTGTGTCAGTCACATAAACACTTGTCAATCATGGAATTGAAAAAAAAGATGTACATTTAGTTAAACCAGATGACACTATTTTTGTAGCATGATTTTCGATTGTGTCCTTTTAATATTGCTTTTAGCAATGATGGTTTTGAGGTTTGGCCATTATCCCTTTAAACTTCGTTAGGTATTTTAAAAAAGAAAAAAAAAAAAACCCACCTTGGCTATTCCTGTCTCCTCTCTGCTGCTTTCTCTCCCCAACGACTTGTTTCTGCTTATTTCAACAGTCTGAGAGTACGAGTATATTTCTGTGAAATAATTATTAATCAGTATAACTGCATTTGGCATTTTTAAACTACTTGGTCAGTTAGAGCGAGCCACTCCTCACCTCAAACAGAAAGAGGAAAGTGGTTTCATAAAAAAGAATAGATACCTGCAGTGCTCTGACTTCCCCCGCTTTGGGTCCAAAACGGCGAAGAGCCCCGTTTTTAATGGGCTGGTGAGGCCGAGGGCCTTCTCGGGCCTGGTGTCTTCCCGGACCTGCTCAGGCCACCCCTCCCGCTCTGCTGCAGGCTTCCCTCTGCCCGCCGGAGACAGGCTGCCCGGGTGGCATCCGCCGGCTGGCCTTCTCCTGGAACCTCACATTGGATTATGGATGTGCCAGGTGGGTTCCGTGGCCCTTTCTGGTTTTCTGCCTGGACAAAATAGATGCCCTGCTATGAGGAGCTTGATGAAATCGAGACTCGGCTAACACTCTAGCTACTCCTTCGGCTTTCCCACCCCCATAGGACCTGGGTTCTGTCCAGTCAAGAAAAATCTCGAGTAAACTAGCTGAGCCGTTGCAACATGAAGGAATGGATTTATTGAAACATATGATTGTAGCTTCTTTTTTGTCCTTTTGAAGGGTAAGAATATGTAATTAATTTAACAAAGGAAGTCAAGTCAGATGGCTAATAACTCTAATATGATTATTCATTGTTACTTGGCCCGGTGGCACTTTGGGGGGCAATGTTAATTTAATAACTATTACATTTTGCTTCTTAAAAGTCTGTTTCCTTTACTAGTTTGGACACAGCTTTGGGGCATTCTGAGGTGATGCCCATTTGGCACATGTTGGTTTATGCTGTTGGTGGGTCTCCCTGCTTCTCAAACCCTGGCTCATGGGTTTGACTCTATCCATTTGGAGTGGTTTTGGGGCCCCAAAGTCTTTGCTCCTGGTGGTTTGTCCCTGACAGCAGATAGAGCCTCACATTGCCCTCAATTTTGCCCCTTTATTTCTTTTGAAGGACCTATTTTTCATGGTACTTGTCCTGATTGTTTTCATAGTGTTCAAATCTGTATTTTTGTATGTAGAGGGAAATAATTTTCTCAACACTAATCGCTAATAAATATTGTATTAAATCGTCATGAAGGAGTTCTTGTTTAATAAATGGACACGTAAAAGTGGCATTGTCTCTGTCCTCTGATTTCCCTTCTGTCCCTTCAAAGGCTGTGGACCCCATTCCCGAAACAGGCCTGGGAGGTGGAGGCTGAACAAAGTCCGCGTCCACGAGAGAGGCCACGGGATGGGTGTCGACAGGCAGTGTGGCTGGCTTAGCTGGGCAGGCAAGGAGGAGCAGAAACCCCCGCCGTGTACCCCTCTCGGCGTCTGTACGCTCAACTTTCAGACAGGTTTTCGAACGTGTGCAAAAGTCGGGGCAGAATGCCTGGGCCAAATGCTGACCCAGGATCCTCCCAGGCGTCAACTCCGAGGTCTCTCGTGCAACCAGTTTCCAAACCACGAGAGCCCCAGGTTCTGGCTACCTCAGAGGTGCCTGGGTCGTTACCCTGATGCATAAGTGAGAGGGCCCGGGGCCCCCTCAAAGGGGCTCTGGTGACCTGGGCAAGTTCCCGAACCTTTTGTTAGTTTTCTGGACTGTGAGCCAGGATTGTGTGAGGAGTATGGGAGAGCACATGTGTCAGATGCTTAGGGGTGCTTGGTGTGGAGCAAGTGTGTGCGCGCCGCTGCTGAAACCCGGAGCCGTCAGGACTCACCAGTGGTAGGCCCCCGTCTGTGTTCGACAGGACACGGGACTGCACTGCTCTGGGTGGTGGGAGGTGTTTTCAAACACATACACTCCAAGCACGTAGTCAGTCTGGTTTAATCCATTATGGCTTTTTTCACATGCAAAAGAAGAACAAAGGTTACAAATGCCCAAGACATGGGTCCAGATCTGGCTCATTCATGAGGCTTCTTGGGTCAGAGGAAATGCCATTTTAAAAAGCTACTTTTGTGTAAAAAAAAAAAAAAAAATTACATAAAGTTACAAAATCCCATTGAACATACACACGCAGCACATGTCTTTAGGTGAACACAGAAGGCACAGCTCCCCTCTCGAGAGGCAGTCAGGTGTCGAGAAACCTATCATCCTGAGTGCCCGAGAGCCCCTCGCCTGCTCCTGGGCCCCCAGGAAAGAGGGTTCGGCTGGGCCTGCCCAGCCCCCCAGAACGCTGTCAGTTATTTCACGGTTAGGTACCCTTGATCTTTTGGACCTGGTACAACTGTCATATCACCCGGAGAAGACGTGGCTCCCCATAACAGGCACCCTGATGTGCTCGCTCCTAGATGAGAGCAAAGGTTGGTTTTCTCCCCGCTTCAAAAATGAAGAGGGTACTGGTGCTCCTTGAACAAGACAATCTTGGAAGGATCATTCTCGACAAAGTGCCTCGCATGAGTGGGATACCAAATGCAGACAAAAATCCCTAGGGCCTAGCAGGCGGGCCCTGTGGTGGCTTCGGTCCTACGCATCCCAGTCCCAGCCCCCCCCGCGCCCCCCCCCGCCCCCCGCAGCATGAAATGCTTCCTGTGACGGAGGTAACAAGGCTCCATCAGCTCTGTCCCCTTGTGCTTATTTTTGGCAGAGAGGTTATAAGGCTTAAGGTCTGGGGGGCAGAAATGAGGAGACGTGGCAGAATATTCACGATGCCCCAGCCGAGGGGTGCCGTGTCGGATGCCGGGCTTGGGCGTGTCACCCTGGGGCCCTGAGGAGGCCAGCTCCGTCAGCAGCTCCCACTGCCGCTGGAGAAGTCGGCGCCGCTCTCCCGACACGCGCCGCGGCGCCCTGGCCGTGTGGGCCGGCCTGGTCCGGAGAGCGGCAGTGGGGGCCCGCGTGGCTCAGGTTGCCGGGGCGGGGCAGACAGGCCTTCAGTCAGACTCGGAGTCGGAATTCTCTTCTGAAAGCGAAGCAAAGGGGATGCTTGGCGGGAGTTTCCAGGCCAGCGGTGCCGGGAAGCTGCTTCTGGGGAGATTGGCTGGGTTTCTAACTGTTGGCCGGAGCCCCGGCCTCGGGCCCCTCCTGTTGGTGGTGTCAGCTTGGTGTGAGGGCTGGCCCCGGGCCTGGGCCCCTGCAGGGGCAGCTGCTGTCCCCTCCAGGGCGTGGCCGCATGCAGCGGGGAGCCCACATGCCCCTCCGGAGTTGCCCTGGGCCGTTCTCACCTGGGGGTGTTAGCGTGATATATCTGCACCCCAAATTCAACCCTACCCTGCAATTCAGCAGGACAAGGTGGGGACAGCTATTTTCAGGCACAAGAAAGTAAAATATACTAGAAAATCAGGAAGCTTTCTTTTAACCAACTTATAGTTTCAATCCCCCTTGCCCCCAATCCTAATTTTATATGGTGATCAGCCCCATTTTATGACGTTAAGGGCCTATCTAAGGTATGACTCAAGGGCTCCTAGAAATCCAATACCAAAGAGTACTCTGTAGAGCCTTCTGGAACACCCCCCCCCCCATTCCAGGAAGGAAAGACGCCCAAGTTGCTAACCCTCCTGCCTCAGCCCCAGTGCCAGTTGCTATTTTCAGGGAGGGACACCCCTTCCCTGGCCAACCTTGGTCTCTTAGAACCCCAGTCTGTCCTCACACTGTTGCCGGGTCATGGATGAGCTCCGAGAGCCTCCACAAACCCTGACTCCCTAGCCTTGTGCTGAGGGCTAGACTGGTATGATTTTGTGGGTTTGCTGTATCCATTCTAACACAAGCTAGGAATCATTTTACAGAAAAAAAAAAATCATATACATATATCTCCAAGTATCAAAGCCCACAATACTCAAACACATGTCTCCACTGACGCTTCCTACTTGTTCACTGGGGTGATGGGCTAGGAGCACCCAGGGCAGGCAACTGGTAGCAGGTCCCAAAGGCCTAAGGAAAATGTCTAGGGACATTGAACCTAGGAGTGACTGAAGTACAGGATGGACGAGATGAGCCTCATATATTTTTAGCAGAGGGATGGTTTCTGCTGGCTCATAAACCTGAGCTTGCCCGAGTGCTGCGGATAAGGAGAGCCTGGTTCTCTGGCCCCTGAGCAATGGGCCGGTGAAACTGGGCAGGGGGGTGGGTTTCAGGGCAGGTGGCCGCTCTGCAGCCTGGGGACTGGCTGCTTTGGGGGCTCATCAGGGAAGGTCTCACCGAGGAAAAGGTCACGGGCCTGCCCTCAGCATGCCTTTCCTGGAAAGACAGAGGCCCTGCGGAGCCAGCCTGCTTTATGATCAGTGCCCCATGAAGGGATAGGAGAACCAGGCTGTGAACACACTTCCTGCCCATATGGGGAGAGAGGAAATGCTCCTCCAGCCTCAAACTGGCCAAGTATCCCTAAGGGAGAGCAGGGTCCCCAGCAACAGTCCTGGGTTGAGAAGCTGTGTTCCCAGGTGAAAACCCACAGGGTGGCCACCCACCTTCTGCCTTGTCGGCTGTGTTCTCTTCTGCGGAGTCCCCTTGCTTGAGGAATTTGGCCACGTCATTAAAGATCAGGTAGAAATCGATTGCAAACACGATGGTGGCAAAGAAGCCAAACACCTGTGGGATAGGGGACAGGGCGGATGGGACCCATCATCAGAAGCTGGGAGTGCCTGGTCCGAGAGACTGGGAGAAGCGGAGAAGCTGCCGCCCCGCTCAATCAGCTCGGATAAGTAGCTCGGATTGGCAAACACAGACCCATCCCAGTACCAACAAGTAGGAAAATGAGCTGTTATCTTGGTTGGGCAAACAGCCTTCAAAACTCGGGGCAGATTAAATCTCCAATAAGAGGACTTTGGAATCGCTAAGATCCACGTGAAAGCCCAAGGGGCCTCTGCGGGGACAGATTCTGCCCCAGACATTGAGTGCCCAAGGGGCATCTGGGGCTCCATCAGGGGTGGGGTGAACTTGAGGGGGGCATCGCTGGGCAACCCCTTCCAGGGCTAGGGTGCCTACTCACCCCAGCTGCTTTGGAAGCCCCGTCCGAGTACTTGGCGACAGCTGTGATGGAGATGGCAAAGTAGATGAGAGCCGCTGTGACACAGCGCAAGAAGTCCTGGGGAGAGGTGGGTGTGGTCACCGTCCTGGGCTCCCAGGAGTGGAGCACAGCTGGGAGCCCAGACAGGGGCAGGGGCTCAGAAGGGCACCAGGCGGCAGGAATGGGGCTGGAATCCACTGTTCCCAGGGGATGATGGGCCCCGCAGGCTGGACACACACCCGGCGCCCACAGGTCCAGCATCCATGGGGCTCCCGCCCTGTCCTGGCCCCACCTTGCACTCCCTGGTCCTTCTCCCACCCCCATTCCTGCCCCTGGAGGCTGCCCTGTTCCCGGTCCAGCTGGCTGTCCCCTGCCCGGTGGACAACAGGATGTGGGCCAGGCTGCAGCTTGCCCTCCGGCCGGGCCCACATGCAGATCTCATTTGGTGAGAAAGATGTTGGAAACCTGGTCACTTGCTCCCTGCTGGCTCTCCAGTGGGGAGATCTGGCCCTGGGCCTCACTGTGCAACATACTTGTGGCAGATCCATTTATGTGTCATGGTTTCTGCTCACCAGTCCCTAAAATGGGGACACAGGGTGCAGCCCAGCAGGAAGCATATTGGATATGAAGTCAAGAGACCAGGGTCCAATCGCAGCCTTTCTGTCCCTTCTCAAACAGCAAAGTTTGAGGTGGGGCTCTGAGGCCTCCCAGGTGACTGCTTAAGCAAGCTGCCAGACGGCTGAGGTCTGGGTAAGCCCTGCAAGTCCTCAGTTAACCTGTCCTGCCCTTGTGGAAATGGCTTGAATTCCTGCGGCTGAGGCTCATTGCGGCAGGCCCAGCTGGGAGCACCAGCGCCGCCTGGTGGCCGGGGGGCCAGGATGCCAGTGGGGATTCCCTGCCTCACCCAGAGAGCTCCCGGAGGTAAGGCAACCGGCTCTGGGTCACATGGCTGCCGGGTGGTGGGTCCCGGCTCCTACCAACTGCAAACAGCCCCTCCAGCACACTAAATAAAGGGTGAGGGCCGAAATGCAGCCAGCCCCTTCCTCCTGGGGCCCAGCCCTCACCATCATGGGCCAGCACAAGCCCTGCCACTTGTCATTCAGCTGCATGGCATCCGCAAAGAGGAAGTAGAGGGCCAGGAGGAACTCCAGCAGAGGCGCTGCGAGGAAGGCGGATGCAGAGGATGCCACATAGCAGACAAAGGTGATGAACGAGAGACCCTGGAGGTGCAGGAAGGTAAAGTCAGAACCTTTGCACAACCCCCGGCCCAGGGCTCTGCAGCCAGGCACAGAAGACACTCCAGCAGGGGAGGCGACCTGCCCACAGTCCTGCAGCTGTCAGGATTAGAACCCCATTATGGGGCCCTGGCCCACACCCGTGCTGCCCCAATGCCTCTGGGCACAGCTCTGCACCCTGATCCCGTGCCAGCACCCTGCCAGGACCCAATCAGGAAGCCCCAGCTTCCCACATGGGTCTAGCCCCCCCAGGAGGCTACTTCCTCCTGCTGCTCACCCCGCCCCCCACCCCAGCAGGCTCTATGGCAGGATCCACCCAACTCAGATGGTGCCCAACAGGGCAAATCAAACCTAAGCAGTCTCTTAAGGCAGCTCACGAAGCGGAAACCATTTCAAAAAATTACACCCAACTCCCAAGAATGTGAATTTTAGCTGAAAAACAATATACAGACCTTGAATTTAGTTAATGATATGCATGCTGAAGTGTTCAGAGTTGAAACTTACTGATGCAGGTAATTTATTCTGCATCAAAAACTAATTGGTGGACAGACAGTTGGATAAATATGTGATAAAGCAAATCTGACAACAGGGTAACAACTGTACAATCTAGGCGGTGGGTATACGGGCGTTAATGGTAGAACTCTTTGGGTTTTCTATGTTTGCCAATTCATATGAAGAAAAAACCTCCAGGAGGGGAAGTGTTGGCCTGACACTTCAGGCCCTGCTGCATCATCCACCCAGCCTTTGTGCAAAGGGCAGGCCGCGCTAAGGAACAAATCAGAGTTCTCCGCAGCCCTGTCCACATGCTGTGGGTGGGGACGGATGCCAGCAGATGCTGAGGTCCCCGGCTAGTTCTGCAGACCGTGTGCCCCGCAGGGCAGGGCAGACCAAGATGAGGGGCTGTTTCCCGGGCCAGGGCCTGAGGCTTGGAGCATCCTCACAACCACCCAGGCACAGGTGCTGCTCACAGCCCACCTCACAGATCAGAAGACTGAGGTGCAGACACTTCACAGGTGGAGTTGCTCAGTGTCATGTGGCTAATAACAAGCCATTCCAAACTTGAACCCAGGGCTGGCTGGCCACACAGCTCTAGTTCTTAAGCAACGCCCCCTATGGGAGCTGGCCTTTATCTGTCCTGTCACTATGGCTGGGCAGGTTTGAGCATGTCCATGGCTGAGTAGCTTGGAGTGGGGCCCAGGGGGCCCTGTAGGGACACCCAGATGCCCCACAGGAAATGCTGTGGCTGCTTCAGACAAATGAGCTGCAGAGATCACAGGGAGTCCCCAGGGCACCCAAATCTGCCTTGACCATGGCCTGGGAAGTAGCCAAGTTCACCTCGAACAGAAGGGAAATTAAGGTGCCAAGAGGGGCCTCCCAGGAAAGCAAGCCCAGAGGACCCTGACCCAGCCCTGTCCCTAGCTCCTGCTGTACCTCCTCCTGGGAAGGCTGTCATGGTCCCACCCTTCCTGTTCACCAGCCCCCAAAGTCAGATTCTGGGGATCCCCCTCTCCACTCCTGTTTCCTTATTCCCTGATTCCTGGTGGCTACTTCCTCGCGTTTCCTGTCCCTGCCAGCCTCCCCACTTGCTTGGGCCTGGAGGCAGCCAGAGGTGACCAGAGGGAGGGAAGAGTGGCCAGAGTGGCTCCCCTTGTGATCAACCCTAAACTGTTCCTCCCTCCTTCTTCATCCTCCTAGATCTGGATTGGATCTAGAGGGACTAGATCTTCATCATCCTCCTAGATCAGCTACACCAAGGGCCTCCCCTATGAGGTAGGCTGAGTGGGGTTGGGGTTGGCTTCCCTCACTGGCCTGTGGACTTAAGGCTTCTGTGCAAAAGGGGCTCTCATCAGTCTCCAGGGTGGGACTGGGGTGGCCAACCACAGGCGACTCCCTGGAGTGTGGGCTGAGTCCTGGGTCCTGGTGCCTCACTTGGAAGCTGGGCTGGTGACCTCCGGGCTGACCCCAGGGGTAGAAGAAGTGGCAAGATGGCCTCCTGCCATCTGCCCTGGGCAGTAGGAAGGAGAGGTCTGGGGCAGAAGCTTCCTTCCTCTGACCTCCACTCTCAGCCTTGCTGTCACCTGGCCGTCAAGGGACCCACCTGTTAAATTCCCTAGATGCCCTGGCCTCAGCTTTCTTGTCTGCAAAGTGGGAATAACGACAGGGACTGCCAAACTGCAGTCCAAACTGGGATCTAAGTAACAAGAGCTGTTCCTTATCTCACCTCCCCTGCGCCCGGCCACTTCGTCCCCTTCCCTGCACGGAGGCCCAGCACCAAGCCCCCGCCCCATCCGCGGATGGTGCGGGAGTTTTCGTAGTGTCCCCAAGACAAAGGCCTGACAGGCCGGGGTGGGGGTTGCGGGCAGGAGGAAGGAGCTCGGCGGGGGCGGGGCGGCTGGATCCGAGCGAGGGAGGGGAGGAGGGGGATGAAATCACCCCGCTGGGCTCCCGCCCCCTGCACCCGGGGGGAGGGGTGTGCCTCCGCGCCCCGCACTGTGCGGCCCAGGCCTCACCCAATCCCGGGGGTCCCCTTCCCACTTCCCGCTGTTCCCCGTCTCCGCTGGCCGGAGTCCACCCCGGCCTCCGCCCCGCAGCTTGAGGCCCGGCCGGCCCTCCCTGAGCCCAGGAAAGCGGGCAAGGGCGCGGAGCGCCGACCCTGGTCCCGATCCGGGCGTCGTGAAGCGCCGAGCGCGCTGATTCCTCCCGGGGCGCAGCCGGGGATGGCGGCAGGGTTTGCGGAGCCGAGTGCCCGCGACGGAGGCCAGAGGATGTGGGGCTGCAACCCGTTCCGGGGGCCCAGAGAGGGCGGAGACGCCCAGGGTCACACAGCGCCAGGCTGAGCTCCCAAGGGGCCCGGCGGCCGCATCGGCGGGCCCCGGGCCCAGGCGTCCCGACCGGCCCCCCACGTTGGGTTAGGGAGCCCCGAGGGCCCGGGTTCGGGCCCCGCCTCGCCTCTGCCTCGCGCGCTGAGCTTCGGCACCACCCGACGCCTGAGGAAGTGCGCCCAGCTCTGCCCGCAGCTCCTCCGCTGCTCCGAGGGCTCGGCGGTCCCGGGCGTCCCGACGGCGCCTCCGCCGCCCCGGGCCCCGGCCCCGCGCCGCACTCACCGACTCGGCCAGCAGGAGGCGGCCTTTGAGCGAGCAGAGGAAGGCGCGCGCCGGCAGGAGGGCGCGGAGCCCGGGCATCGCCGCGCCGGGCGGAGAGCGGCCGGCGCGCGCCGGGGCCGGGCCGGGCTCCGGGTCGGGCTCCTGGTCTGGGGGCCACATGGCGGCGGCGGCAGGGACCGAGGCGCGGGCCGGTTCCCTCACCCCGCGCCCGGGAGGGAAGCGGAAACCCGGGCTGTGCGGAAGGAGAAAAAGGCGAGACATGGGAGCGGGGGCGCATCCCCCCGCCGCCCCGCCCCCGCCCCGCCCCTCCTGCCCTGTCCCCTCCTCCCTTCCTCACTGTCTCCTGCTCCCCCGCTGCTCCGCTCGCTTCTTCCGCTCGCCTTCCTCCTCCTTCCCTCCTCCCCTCGGACCCCGGCTGCCCGAGCTGCTCCGGGCCCCGCCGGGCGGGACTGTCCGCCGAGCTGGCGTGGGGCCCCCTCATACACACCCGCACTCTCCCCTCAGCCTCGGCCCGGCGCTCCGAGACCTTCTTTTTGCTGCCCCGGAACGCCCCGTCGGGGCTTCCAGTCTTCTCTGCGTGCTCTGAAGGGTTGTGTACGCTCGCTGCGTCGTCTAGCTTCCTGCCCGTGTCCCTGCGCTGTGTCCGGGACCCAGGAACCTAGGCGCCCAAACGGCAAGACCCCTGTCTCGTCCTCCTGCGCTTTTGATGGAGCTGTCAGCTCCCCAACCCACTCCCTCTCTCTCCCCTGGCCACCCCTCCCATCTTTGGCCAGCCCGGCCTCCTGTACTGGCTGCCCCAGCCTTCCTTCTGCTCCCTGTCCCCATTCATACTGCGGGGACTCCCACTGGCGCCTGGGCCCCAATGAAGGGCACCGCCATCCATCCTTCTACCCCAAGATCTGAGACTCGGGGCTGTCCTTGTCCTCCTTCACCCTCACCATCAGTCCGTCACCAAGGCGGGCACATGTTCACCTCCTAAAGCTTTCTTTGTCACTGTTCACGTCTCACCACCACTAAGCCTCCACGAGGCCCCAGAGTACTCCTGTCTCCTCCCTGGACTGCTGTGAGGGTGTCTTTAAGAGTCCTCTCTGCTTCCTCTTTTGGCAGCCAGAAGGATGCTAAAATGCTCTGTCAGGATCACCTGCATTTCCCTTATCCCCCAAACCTTGGGAGATTCCCATCTTGCTCAGAGTCTTGGTAGAGACACTAAAAACATAATATCTTGGTGTCTTCTGCTCCCTGTCTCTCGCACTCAAGAAACTTACCGTTTCTTGAATAAACCATGCTCTCCCCACTCCAGGGCCTTTGTGCATGCTGACCCTGCTACCTGGAATGCTCTTCTCCAAACTGGTTATCCAACGAACTTCTCTTCACTCTGTGATCGTCCCAGTGTCACTTCCTCAAAGAAGACTTCGATGGCCTCTCCTGCCAGGTAAGAGGCATTCGTTCACTCATTTATTTGTTCATTCAACAGCAGTGCTAGAAAGATTGCATTTGCAGGATGCAAGGACCCATCAGCTTAATTTGTGGGGAGTGGGTCAATAATGTGTCCAGAGAATCCTGAACGAGATGATTCTTGGTAATAGTTGTCTGGCTTGTTATGGCTGGTTCAGAGGGTTGCCGGGAGCCTTTGTGGAAGAAAGGACTGAGCAAAGGGCTAGGGGGGAGGAGACAGATGGTAGAGAACCAGACCCTGGTGTTTGGATCTTACTCTGGATCCCCTGGAAGGAGGCCAGGTGAGGGTTAGAACATGGACAACCTGATACTGATCAGTGTTAATTTGGCTCAAAACTGTAACTCAATAAGTAGAAAACAACACAATTTTTTTAATTGACCAAAGTTTTGAACAGTCCAAAGAAGATATATGAATGTCCAGTAAGCACTCGAAACTATATTCAATATCATTAGACATCTAGGAATGCAAATTAGAGCCACAATGAGATACTATCTTTTTAAATTTTTAAAAAAGATTTTATTTATTTATTTGAGAGAGAATGAGAAAGAGAGAGAGCATGAGAGGGGGAGGTTCAGAGGGAGAAGCAGACTCCCCGCTGAGCAGGGAGCTCGATGTGGGACTCGATCCCGGGACTCCAGGATCATGACCTGAGCCAAAGGCAGTTGCTTAACCAACTGAGCCACCTAGGCGCCCCGAGATACTATTTTACACCTATTAAAATGGCTTCATAAAAGGGGACTCTACCATTTAAGTGCTGGGGAGGATGTGGAGCAACTGGAACTCTCATACACCCCTGTTGGGGCTGGAAGTGATGACCTCCACTGCGGAAGACAGCTTGGCAGTTTCCTAAAATATTAGACAGAGGTATACTGTGTGACCCAGACATTTTATCTGTAGGTATTTCCCCAAGAGAAATGAAAGCACATGTCTTTGCAAAGGCTTGGACCTGAGCATCCACAGCGGTTCTATTTTTATTTTTTAATTTATTTTTAATTATTTTTTAAGATTTTATTTATTTATCAGAGAGAGAGCACGTGAGAGCATGAGCGGGGGGAGGGGCAGAAGGAGAAGCAGGCTCCAAGCTGAGCAAAGAGCCCAATGGGGGACTCGATTCCAGATCGCTGGGATCGTGACCTGAGCCAAAGGCAGAGGCTTAACCGACAGAGCCACCCGGGCCTCCTGAGGCTCTATTTTTAATAGCTCAAACTGCACAACTCCAGTGGTTCATTACACCTGAGAGGATAAACTAACCGTGGGGCATCCCTTCGCTGGAATACTTCTCAGCACGAAGAAGGAATAAACCATTGACAGGTGCAACAATAGGGATGCATTTTGCAGACATTATGTTGAATGAAAGAAGCCAGGCTCAAAAGGGTACATGCTGTATGATTCCATTTTTATGAATTTCTAGAACATGTGAAACTCAGCTGTGGTGACCGAAATCAGACCAGTGGTAACCTGGGGTGGGGGCAGGAGGAAGCTCTCTGGAGTGCTGGAAATGTTTTTTATTTTGCCGAGGGTGGTGGCTGCACAGAAACATACATTTAACAAAACCCATCAAACGCTCCACTTAAAATGATTGCATTTTATTTCAAGTAATCTCTATCTCAATTTACTGAAAGGGAACTCACGCAAAAAAATATGGTGACTCACGGGGGTGGCTGAGAGGGCCCAGGGAGAGGCAAGGAGAACTGGAGGGGTGCCCCTGCTTGAGGGGCCTGGATGCCCGAGACGGCTGTCACTCCCACTGCAGGCTGTGAGCTCCATGGGAGCCTGTCCTAGCCCAGCCCAGAACCCATCACTCGGATGGCCCCAGAAGTGTCTGCTATGGGGTGAAGAAGGGTGGCTCTATTCCCTGTACATTCCTGTGTAAGGAATATTTTCTGTTCTCCTACACTGATTTATTTATTTTATTCTTTGGGTCATAATTAAATACTGTTGTGCTTGATTTTGTTAAATTTTTTCATCTTTGGCCTTTATTAGCTCCTACTGGTGGGCTTCTGGGTACCCATCCCCCATCTCTCCCCCCCCCCCTGCATTTCCTTATTTTCTAACCCTATAACATGCGTCAGGTTCATTTTGTCTTCTCCCCATCCTGGCCCTAGAATCCGAGTTCCTCTAAGAAGCTCTGGCTCTTTTACTGGAGAATGGTATTTAGACATATATCCCTTGAGGTAGTGTTAATTTGCATTTCTCTAGTTATGAGTGGATTAAGGAGTATTTTTGTTGCTTTTTTTTTTTTGCATATGTAACAGCAATTTGCATTTGCTTTTCCAAGAACTGACTTTTCACATACTTTGTATGTTTTTCTATTAATTGTTGGTTTAAAAAAATGGATACATAAGAATGCATATATTCAGGAAATTGTGCTTTTTCTGAAATTTGAGTTATGAATAGTTTTTCCTGGCTTATCATTTGTCTTTTACTTTGCATTTTTGCCATACAGGTTTCTCCTTTTAGAACCTGGTGTTTTTCTCCTTTAATCTATGAATGTGGTGACTGACAATCGCAGTTTTCCCAAGGCTCACTGTCCTTACATTCATGGGATGTGCCTTTAATGGTCAGGTTGCTTTGCTCTTTTGATAAACCTCTAGAATCATTTTGCTAGTATTTTGTTTGGGAGTTTTGCCTTTATTTTCATAAATAGAATTGACCTCTAGTTTTGGTTTCATTTTATTCTATTTGTTGTATATTGTGTTATCCTTTATTTAAGTCTTTCTTGTTTCCTAATGAAGGCATTTAAAGCTATAAATTTTTCTCTGAGGACTGCTTAGGACACATCCTTAAAATAATGCTCTAGTTTTTATCCACTTCTAATTAGCCTGTAGTTTCCATTTTAAATTTCCACTTTAATCCAAGAATAATTTAAAAGGGTATTTTAAAATTTTTAATTTGATAAATTTTTGGCTATACTTTGGTGATGAATATCAAATTTTATTATTTCTTTTATTCAGAGAACAGGTCTGTATGTTCCGCTTTTTGGAATTTGTTGAGATTTTCTTTGTATCCTAATAGATAGTCAGGGGTTGTAAGTGTTCCATGTGTGCTTAAAAGGATTGAATATTCTCTCTTAGGTGGGTACAAAATCCATATGTCCATTATGTATCTTGTTAATTATATAATTTAAACTCTCTATATGCTTACCCTTCTTTTTTTTTAAGGTTTATTTATTTATTTCAGAGAGAGAGAGAGAGAGCGCGCGCGCACAGGAGCCAGGGGGAGGGGCAGAGGGAGAGGGAGAGGAGAATCTCCCGCAGACTACCCCCTGAGTGAGGAGCCAGATGCAGGGCTTGATCTCAGGAGAGTCCGATGCTCAACTGACTGCACCACCCAGCCACTCCTATACTCACTCTTCTTTTTCTTGATGTTTTGACTTACTAAAACAGATATATTAAAGCTCCTCACTAATGTTTTAGATTTATTATTTTCCTTGGATTTCTAATAGTTTGGGGTTGTTGTTGTTGTTTGTTTTTTTTTGAAATTATGGTGTTAGATGAACAAAAGTTAACATATGGGTTTTTTTTTTAAAGATTTATCTATTTGAGAGAGAGAGGTGGGGGAGGGGCAGAAGGAGAGGGAGAGTGAGAATTCCAAGCAGACTCCCCACTGAGCGTGGACCCCGACTATAGGCCCGTCCCACAACCCTGAGATCATCACCCAAGGGGAAACCAAGAGTTGGAGGCTCAACAAACAGAGCCACCCAGGTGCCCCAAAAGTTAACATATGTTTTGTTCAGTAGAGTGTAGCAATGAAGAGCCTAAATACTGGGTTTAAATCCTAGTTCTATTGCTTTCTTA